GTCGTCTCCAGCCTCTTGTCATCTTTCTCTCCTGTTCTCCTATAACTCAGCTATGAATGAGAACAGAGTTGTCTTTAGCAGCAGCCTGAATGAGTTGGTTTCAGCCTCCAAGCCAGCATGAGAGGCGGGGTGAAGGGCTGCGTGTGGGTTTGCTTCTTAAAACTCTCTGCACCCCCTGAAGCTTATATTTTTCCATGTGCCTTGGAGCAAAGCCCTCACCCTCGGGTCCCCTCGTTTTAAAGTTTATTTTGTTGCAGTTTTTGGTCCCACGCATTTTGTTTTCTGTTTTCTACAAGGGAGACTGAATTAGGGCCTCAGAAAAACAAGGCCAGGCTGCCAACTGGAAATGTTTGCTCTGGGGGCGAGTTGGGAGGCTGGCGTCAGGCGGGGCAAGATCCGTGCCAGTGGAATGTGATTTGGGGAGGAAGCTGCAGGTCACTCAATCGCTGGCAGGCGGCCCGGGAGCAACTGGATGCTTGCTGGGCCGTGTGTGTGCATGAAGACTTTTTTTCCCCCTCTTGCAAACAGAGCCCCAGAGACGTGGAGACAGAAGCATTAGGAACAAAGTAGACAAGGGGTTGGAAAACCCAAAGAGGGGGGTAAGATGGGTGGAGTGGGATGAGCGGCAAGATCCTTTTGGCCACTTTGTTCAGTACTCCCTGAGTCCTTTGCTCCAAGGTGGAGGGGCACACTGGTGGGGTCCCTGTGCCCGAGAAAGAAGGCTCCCAGTACAGAGCACAAGCACATTGTCTTGGAAGTCTTCGGAGAGCAGGGTGCAGGGATAGACTCAAGTGTTCAGGGGAGGCTTCCTGGAGGAGGTGTGGGAGGTAAAATTAAGGCCCTGAACCATTGCACTCAAGGGAAAGAATCTGTTTGATTGCCAGATAGTAGTTACCATGCACCAAGCCTCTCCCACCAGAACTCTCCTTAATTCTTTTTTTCCTTTTTATTACACAGGGTATCCTGTATCCAGGCTAGCCTCAAACCTCCTATTGAGCTGATGATGGCTTTATACTTCCAGTCCTTCTACTGACACCTCCCCAGTGCTGGGATTACTGGAATGTACCACCATACCCAGTGTATGTGGTGTTAAGACTGTACCAGGGCTTCATGAATGCTAGCTATTAACTGAGCTGCAACCCAGGGCCCTGATCTCTTGAATACTCACCACAGCTTTGTGAGGCTCAGTAATCTTTAAGCCCCGACTTGGCAAATGAGGAAACTGAGGCCCATAGAGGTCTGGAAACTTGCTTGATCTGTGAGGTCATTAAGAGATGAGCCAGAGCTCAACCCCGGGCTGTCTCTCCATAGCCTGAGCTCTTGCCCCGCCACTGAGGTCTTTTAGCACACTAGTGAGAGCTAGTTTCTCCTCTGGCACCCTACATAGAGGATCGTTCTGCTCAAGGTGAGGGATGTTAAGGACCTAAGGAGGTGGCCAGATTTCTTAGGGCTCGGTGGGACAAGTGTCTGGAGATGAGATATGTTCCCAGGAGGTGGTAACCAGGCCTCTGGACAGCCTTGCTGCACTTTCTACCTCACGGGTCCTTTCCTATAGCCTAGCTACCTTCCTGTACCCCACCTTACACCCTCATCAGACTCCCTCCATGTGCCAAGTTCTTAACACCCAGACCTTATCTCAGGACCTTCTCTGGGCATCCTCAGAAGCTATTTGTGCTGTTCTGAAGAGTAAATGAATCTGAGGTGAACTCTATAGGATGTATTTACTCAAGGCAGGTGCCATGGATCTGTCAACCCCATGTGACGTCAGGTGGGTTCTTTCCAATCTCAGGCGGCAGGGTCCCTGGTTTTAAAAATGGGAGGTAGCCTGGTTGGTATTTGTGCTGTGGCAGACTTCGGGTAACAGAACTGGTCAGCAGGTGTGGTGGGGCCAGGAAGGCTTGTCTGAGGAACCCGGTGTACCTCAGAAGGCCTCTCTGCCAAGAGAAGCAAGGTCAGACTTGAGAGAGAAGGAAATGAACTGGGTTGGCAGGGCCCGAGGAGATGGTACAAAGAGGTGGGGTCGTGGGTAGAGCAGCAAGGCCAGCTCAACCCAAATACGCTGGACAGTGATTCATCCTATTTGGGCAACTTCATTGACTATTTGGGGGTTTTATTGTCCTGTGCCCAAATATTTAGTTAATCTTTCCCACAGATCCTGTCCTAACCAAACTGGCCACTAGTCTTAGGTCGACTGTAAAGGCCTGCCATGTCACCTGCAACTGTTGAGCCAACCGATCAGTTCAAGGTGATAACTGCATCTACCAGTTGTTTTCAGGAAACTGGCAATTAACCCAGCTCACCCAAGCTGTTAGTTGCCTTTGCTTCTGGAGACAGCCCTTGGATCTGACATCTGTAGCCTCGAGGTCAGGACTGGGTGCCATTTATCCAAAGCAGCTGGCTTCCCAAGAAGACTGGGGGGAAACCCTTATACAAGATGGGCTCTGGGACTCAGTCTCCCCCATCAATAATGTGGGAGGCATGGCCAGCAGCGTATGGTGTGAACACTGCCACTCCTCCACTTTCACCCATGGCAGACATCTGCCAATCAATTACAGTCCCCCTCTCCCAAGGGACCCAGATACCTCAGAATCCTTTTCAACATAGAGATTCAGGCCACCCCTACCAATCAATTAGATTTGGCATGCGTGATAAAAAGCATTTGTCCTTGGGACGTTAGATGATGGCCATGACCAAGCCTCGTTCCAGCTGTGGCAATCTAGGATTGCAACTGATGAGGTATTTTGAAGACTCCGCCAGGGCGGAGACCACCAGATTTCCAGCGGTCCCTGGGGCTTCCCGGGTCTATGGAGTGGGCCTTGCACTGGTATGCCTTATTAATTTCCCTCACTGCTAATAAATGTAGATTGCGTCAGCTCTCTTCTTCCCCCTCATGTTCTCCGACTGCCGCCATCAGCAGCGACTTTTTTAGAAATCTCACTGAAGAGGCAGCCAAGCCCCGCTCTCTTCTTTCTGAAAGACGGGGGGAGATGGGTTCGGGAAGACTTCACAGTGAAGGAATGTGCTCCGCGGGGAGTTGAGAGTTGTTTTCCTTAAGAAGAAGATGAAAAGAAAGGAGTCATCGCATTGTAGTTTCCCATCCAGCCCTTGAGCACAGCGGTGGGGACTGGGAGCCAATCCTGGGAGGATAGCGGCTGAAGCCTAGCCTTGTTAGGCTGTTGACAACTAGGTCGTGAAGCGCACAGCCTTAAGGAGCCACTTGCTGGCTCCCCGGCTGCCTCCTTGGCTGATCCGCTCTATTTCCAAGGGCCCGAGCCTTCCCTGCCTGTGGGGGAGGTTCCTGGGGCTTCTGTCTCCAGAGTGGAGGTTTCGCTTTTCCCCAGTGCTATGCTCTGAGGTGGGAGGAGGTTTAGCACAAATCCTAATTTGCTGGATCTCAGGGAAGTTTGAGGTCTGTGGTTCTGCATCCTCCTGCTTCTCCATTTACAGACGAGCTGAGCCTTGCAGGGGGCCAGGGCAGGGTGCAGACCTGTCTCGGAAGAGGACACAGCTCAGAGCTGTAGGAAACTCAGACACTGTTTAGCCCAGAACCCCGTGGACTTGAGTGACACCTACGGAAACAGTGTCCCAAACTCCTAGATTTGAATTAGATTTTTCCTTCTTTTAAAAAAGATTTTATTTAAAAATTATGCTTTAGACTTATTTATCTGTATGAGTGTGTTGTCGTCCCTCCCACCCCCTGGGTATAGGTATGTGCTGGATGGGTGCCAGGTGCCCAGGGATGTCAGGAGAGGGTGCTGGGTCCTCTGGAACTGGAGCTACAGATGGTTGTGAGTCAGTGGAGTGCTGGAAACCCAGGATTGCTTCGAGAGCAATAAATGCTCTTAACCTCTGAGCCATCTCTCTAGTCCTTATTTAAAAATGTTTAAATTACGTTTATATGTGTGTGGTGAGGACACATGAGTATAGTGTCCCAGGAGACTGGAAGAGGCTGTCAGATTCCCCGAAGCTGCAGAGACTGGTAGTGCTGAGATTCGAACTCAGATCCTCTGCAAGATCAGTGTTGTGCTCTTAACAGCTGAGCCATCCTTCCAGCCTCCTTTTTCTTCTTTTTGAAACAAGGTCTCATGTATTCCAGTCTGGCTTCAAAGTCTCTATATAGCTGAGAATAGCTTTGTCCTTAGATCCTCTTTCCTCCACCTCCTGAGTGCTGGGCTAACAGATGCGCACCCCCATGCCGATTTTATGTGGTACTGGCATGGAATTGAGCTGCATGTATGCTCGGCTCCCTATCAGCTAGCTTAGCCAACCCCAGCCCTGAATTATAGTCTTTGCTCTTCTTTTCCTTTAAAATATTTATTTTACGTGTGTGTGTGTGTGTGTGTGTGTGTGTGTGTGTGTGTGTGTGCATCAGATGTGTGCAGGTACCTAAGGAGACCAGAAGAGGGCGCTGGATCCTCAGGAACTGGAATTATAGGAAGTGCTGAACATCACAATATGGGTGCTAGGAACAGAATATGGGTCCTCTGGAAGAGCAGCAAGTGCTCTTAGCCACTGATTGGTCACCTCCCCTGCCCCCCTTTCTTTCTTGTATAACCAAGAGCTCCAAACAAACCAATAAAGGAACACAAAGGTGTTCCGTATTCCTACTGGCCACATGAAGTGACTAGGATAGATCTACCATCTGGTTGAAACAGCCTGGTAGGCAAACACAGCAGGAGCAGAGAGCCTTCCTGCCTGCACCCCTCAGTGTGTCCCCAATGCTGACCCTAGAAAGAGGAATGTAGAAGGAGGCCTACACTTCAGGAGTGAGGTCAGGGGAGGAAGAGGGCAGGACATGACAAGGGAAACTGGTGCCTGGAGACTTGCTTGCTCTCTCTTCACCTGCCAAATGTCCTTTTGGCTGACACTGTGTCAGCCTTGGGCAGAGATCCCTGCAGCTGAAGCCAGCCCACCCTTTCATAGCAAAACTCAATTGTTAGAGCAGCGCCCTGCCACCTGCCTCATGGGTCTTTGTTTACCCCAGACAGTGCTCCTATCTGATTCTTACTACTGCTGACTGGGGAGCACAGACCACAAAATCTGATGGAAAAGAAACACATGTACTGGAGGTTACAGACTGAAAAGGGTCAGGGTTCCAGTTGCAAATGGACAGAGAGAGTAGACCTCTGTGATCATGGGACATAACAGCACAGGCATGAAGAAAGAGAAGGAGCAAGCCAGGGGTATGGGTCCTCTAGGCAAACCCTACCTCCTTGTAGCCTGGTTCAAATGCTCCTTTTTCCAAGAAGTACCCCAGAGCTCTTCCACCACTCTCTACTTCCTGCACTCCTCCAGAAGCATGACATTTTGCAGAAGGTCAAACTCAGTCTTCTTCCAGGACTCTGCATCTCTTTGCACCAGAATGGTGGTTCTACTGAGGTCAGGGATTTTTCTGTATTCACTGCTGTATCCCCAGCCTTGGGAACAGCATCCAGCACTACAGATGCTCAGAGAAATGGATGGGAACTACCCACCCTTAGTATGTGGGCTCCTGACAGCAGGAACCTCATCAAATTCCTCCTGCTAGCCGGCACCATCATGGTACCTGGCTGAATCTGTCCATAGTATGAATGGCTATTGATTTGAACCATTGTCTCCTGCTCAAATTATCAGCACAGGAGAAGGTCTTAGAGAAGGTCTGTTGTGTCCCCTCCAAACCCCCAGCAGAATCACTGGGGCTCTACTCAGGGCTCCACCTGGCAGGAAGCTGACACAGCCAGTCCCTATAAAGCACAGGGTCACCTCCAAGGCTATGTTAGCTGAAGGAATCACAGGACAGCCCAGACCACTGCTCTCTTTGCAGGAATGCACAGAGAGAAGAACTCCGTAGAAGCCCTCAAGACAGTGGAGCAAAGTGAAGTTGCTGGGAAGATATGAGCAGAGAGATGACACATGCATCCTACACTTTAGCAGCCATCTCCCCCTCCCCCCCATGCTAGAAATCAAACTCAGCGCGCCTTGTGCATGCTGAGCAGGTATTCTACTGATGAACGACACCCCACTTCTCTTGTTCCTCCTTTGTCCTCCTGTTCCTCTGAATTTGAGAGTCAGGAGTAAGTCCTCCCCGCCCAACCCCATAGTCACTGCCCTTTTCCAGAGAATCTGCTCCACTAAGGGCAGAGCACACTCAGGACAAAGCTAGAACCACAGGGTCTCAGAGAAAGGCTCCTTCCTCCTCTCCTGCAGAGCCCTATTACTCTGTCCTATCCCCAAGACCTTTGGTTTTCTAGCTGGATAGCCACTGGGGTGCAGGAAGGTAGAAAGAGGATAGCTCATCCCTGGATCCAATGTCCTGTTGGCTAATAGAGCACAGTGCTGGCTCCCGGGCTAGATGGCTGAGAGGGGCTTACACGGACCCAGGATGATCCCGTTCTTTCTTTTCACTCCCCAGCTGGTCCTAGGCATGGCTGCTGTGAGCACAACTACAAAGGGCGCTGTTCGCATTGAATTCTGTTTGCACCTGGCTGTCTAAGTCTCACTCTTCCCCGATTTCTCTAGCAGGGCACAGGCACTTTGGAACAATCTGAACAGCCAGAAATAGACTCTGTGTTCAGGAATGTAGAGCTTCATGCAGCAAGTATTTAAGGTCCTGTCTTATGTGGCCAAGAAGACAGCAATCACAGAGCCCTATCCTGAAGAGCTGTCCTGTCCTCACGGGTTGTGCTTGTGTGCCATGGACTCGTAGGACAGGTTCCACTAGGCAGCACAGAGAAATAGAAGTGTATGGCTACTGTGGTTCAGGTTTTTTGAGCCTGAGATTCCAGACTGCTTAAGGTAGGGCTCCTTCCATTTGACTCTGATCTGGAAGGAACCAAGCAGACGTCAGGCTGGGCTAAAGGAGACCCGTGGCTCCAGTTTCTACTCAGGCTAGAAGCACAAGCAAGGGTCAGCCATCTGTCAATAATAGGCCAGTCCCTCATCTCCAGGTGCTAGGCACTAGGCTCTCAAGAGGCAGAGGAAGTACAATAGTTGAGAGCTCAGAGGTTCCAGGGTCAGTTGGTCTGGATTCAAACAGGATCTCACACTCCCTTTCTGCCAGCTACTTCTTCCTCCTGGAGCCTTGGTTTTCTTGTGGGTAGAATGGGTTTGCCTACCTGTGTCATGAAGATGACCTATGTGGTCACTCCCTATGTGGTGGTAATTATCAGCACTTGGCTGGCTAGCATGTCTCTCCTGTGGTGTAAACTCCAAGCATTTTCCTTCCCTTCCTTTTCTAGCTTCACCCCTGTGCCACAGAATAGGCATTTCAAGGATATGGAACCTTCCAGAGGCATCATTATGCTTGCTCTTCCAGTATAACCTCAAAAGGCTGTCTCAGTGGGGGAAGGTTTCACTAAGGATACAGATTTTCTTGGAGGGTATCTGTGTCATTTCATACAAAGCAAAGATGGAGAACTGAGAGCCTCTTCACCTCAGCACCTCTATGGATTCGTGAAATTCTTAGTATTGTCTTTATAGGGCCACTCTTCTTGAGGTCAGTAGTGTGGTGTCAGTCTCCTAAGTTTTGTGCCACCAGGGGGCGCTGCCCAGCTGGTTTCTATCCAGCTTCTCGAGATTGCTGAGGGGAATCCAGAGTACTGGGAGTGCTGGGAAAAGACAGGTTTTTGCTTAGGGATGTGTGCAGCTCGCCTCATCCTGCAGACTGTGGCCCGGCAGGCTGAGAATGCAGTCACAGGCACTCTTCCCATAGGTTAGGTTACTTACATTTCTCTTCTGTTCCTTCAAGCGCCCTTCCACACTGAGGAGGCAGATAAGGAAGGGACACTTGCCTGTTGCCAACTCCAGATGCTCAAGTTGACCAGAAGGAGAGGTGGCAGAGTGAGGGGCTGGAAGATATATCCAGCCTAGGTGCCATTCCTGTCTCTGCTCCGTCTCCTTCCATCCCAGGGGTCTGCAGTGGTCTTTCCCTTCTCTTGGGGATATCAGGAAAGGGCTGGGATTCAGCTTTTATGGGAAGCCCTTTGTATTCAACCAAAGACCTGCTTCCCGAGAATACTCACTGCCTCTTTAAGAATGATATCCTACCATGTGGAAGCTTCTAACACACTCCAACTGCCATGGGCAACCCAGTCTGCAACTCTGCCCCACTCTGGGTAGATCCTCAGACACAGCTTCACCACATCAGCGTGTCCGGAGCCACCATTCACTGACTTTGAGCATCATTCAAATACTATATGCAAGCCTCATTTAATCCTCTTAATGACCACGCCCCTCAAGGAAGAAGAAGAATGCTGGTAAACTCAGTGAGGAGAGAAACCCTTTGTGACTCGACTCGGGGGCAGGTCTTCGGAGAGGACCTCCTGGTTGGCCTCTTTTTCTTTAGTGGTGTCTCCAGTGGAATGGAGGACTGGGGATCTGGAGAGTGGGCTCTGCGATTATATCCACATCCTAGCCACAAGGAGAAGGAGGAGCACAGGGGTTACAGGACTGGGCCGAGGTCACTCGGTAAAGGATTAGGCTGAGCTCTGGAACTAAGAACTTCGCTTCCTTGAGGAGCCGACCTGCCTTGGCCAATACCATTAGCATTAGCACAGCTACTGTTGAGCGGGCACCCCCATGAGTCTAGTGCTTGAAGTCTTGTGTGACAAGCATGGATGTTCTCCCGACTTCTCATTTCACAGATGAGTAAATCTGGGTTTAGCAGGGCGCCTCGGGTGAGATGACTTCAGATCTTCACAGATGTTAGGTCTCCTAAACCAGAAACTTCCACTCTCCTCTCCCTCCTGTGTACTTTGGTGCCTCAGTTTCCCAGTGTCAGTGTGTCCTCTTCTGTTTCTAGGACCAGTGAGAGAAAGAAGGGAGAAGGCCTTGTAGTGCGATGATGACAACCCCCAGCCACTCTGGGGTTCTCTCCCACTTACCTTCCCCTCCCAGCAGAAGTCACAGCTCTGGGATTTCTCCCTGTGTTGGCCAGTTTGGGTGGGAGGGAGACGGGAAGGTTCTGGGTGGGGAAGGTCGGCGCAGCGTCAACCCCCAGCCAAACAGGGCAGGGCAGTGAAGGGCCAGAGCGGTCAACGGCCACGTGCTCAGGACAGTAGTGGAGGGAGCCGACTGTCTTTGGGGAGAGGAGGCGGGCGGGCCCCTGCTGCCCCTAACTTGAGTAGGGGGCGGGGAGGGCTAGCAGGAGGAGGCAGGTTCCGGCAGAAGGCATGGGGGTAGGGGGAGGCCGAGAGCACGCGGACAAAGGAGGCGGCCCTCAGCCCAGCTGTTTTGAAAAATGCTTCCTGTTTCTTTAAAG